CCGAAAGTACAGTACCGAAAGTACCGTACTTTGTGCGGTGGAAAAGCGCCCTAGGTTTCAGCTAATGTGTTGACACATCAACATGTGGTTTTGGACTAGCTCTCAGTATCGATGTTCCAAAAGCTTCTTGGTGTGGTGGGATATACCAAGCACTAATGCTAGCAAAAATGCTAATCAGTGTTTCCCCTATTATATTAGGGGGGCACCGCGCACCTCCAACAGTACCTCCCGCCCCCCCTTGAAGGTCAAGATAAATTTTATTTTATTTTCTATATAGCACCAGATCACAACAGAAATCATTTAAGGTTGCCTTTCCTATAAGACAGGTCTACACATTGTCCTTTTATTAAATAAACTTAATAGACATATGTTATTTATCTTATTTACACAACAGCTTGTGATTTTTGTCTCTACACGGTCGCGTGTTTACAATTCTCTGCTCTCCCGATGCGCGCACAGACACGTGCGCGCACACTCAAGTGAGCACACTCCCACCAGCGAACAGAAAGCACGCGTCGGAAAATATGTCGCGTGAACCACCTGAAAAGCAGACAAAAGTAGCAGTGTTGCTTCTGACTCCTGAGGCTTGGAAAACAGAGATGGAGTCCATGCTGTGCTCCTGCTGCCCCCCCCCCCTCCCCCAAGCTGTAAACCTAGGGGAAACACTGCTAATAACACTACTTCATGGCCCCTTTCTCTGCTTATTCATATATCTATGTACTAGTATTACTAGTTGAAACCACCACAAAGCAGAAGGTGCAACTTTAGCTCAGCCAGCTCCCAAGGAAAACCCTTCTCCGGGAATAATCACCACTTTCAGCAGTTCTCTCTGAATATGCTAATAAAACTGGGGTGTTGTGCAAGAGAATCCGGATGAGCAGCAGGGAAAATGGGGTCCCTGGGGCCGAGATATTTCAGTTATTCTGGGACAGTGGACTCAGGGACTGTGCCTTGGGTATGGATTTAGGAGAGGAAGAGGTTCCATGTTGTCTTTAATAGGCAATTATCATAATGAACAATAAACCATTTGCTTAACACCTCTACTCTATTTATTGAGATGAACTGCTAAGTGTCTTACTCAATGGTAGGAAGAGCAGCTGGGGAAGCTAAACCTGCAAGCCCTAGGGACTGGCTTGGGACTGCCTCTATTGGCGCTCTTCCACTGCCACCAAGAACCAAGCCTCACCCAAGCTGAACTGCAAAGAGATGGTTTTAGATTGGGCTATTTACATTATGCAAGCCGTACCTAACCTGTACACTTGCAGAGATGTCCCTACTTACTAGAAGGGCTGAAAGCGTGACTACACCGAGCTGGTTGCGTCTGATTGGTCAAAATGCATGGAGATATCAATGATCTGTCACTGTCACTACACCTTCACCATGCTGACCCATCTGCAGTGGAAAACTGAAGCGAACTAGATCCGTGCTGTAACAAGTGTCTCTTCGTGTTATGGGTCAGGTATGGCTATATGCCAGTGGAAAAGCACTCCTATATCCCAAAGGTGAGTCAGCAGGAGCATAGCATGGGTTCAATCTCTGTTTTCCAAGCCTCAGGAGTCAGAAGCAAAACTGCTAGCTGATGGAAAGTATGCCAGGGCTGCATTCTGGAGCTGCCCCCCACATCCCAAAAGCACTAATGAAGAAAACAGGGCAAGAGGTCCATCAGGCTATTAAGACCTAAGATAATCCCTTAAACTACTGGGCCAGATGCCGCTCTTTGGATTACGGCCGTCTTCTCATGGACTTTACACTAAAAATACTTCAGATTCCATCACTGAAGACTGCCACAGGCTACACTGAATATTTTCACTAATCACTCCTCCCGAACTAGGCCCTGGGGGGGGGGGGGGGCACTCCCAGAATAATCGACAACACCCAGAGCCTCTTCAGATGGTCTACTTCCCAGAATAATCAGTCACAAACAGGCATGTCAAGATGGACCCAAAGATCTCATTGTTCTGGCAGGCACGTGCTTCGGGTGAAAAAGCCCACTGCAGCTATACTTAGGAAAGCGATAAAGCTTGCACGCAGCACAGACAGCAAACAAGGAGTCACTCACAGGCAGATATGTGACGAACCGAATAAACACTCAAAGGTCAGGCACTCAGAATGTTATCTGCAGGCTGCACACCCCAGCGAAAAGCACCCCCCACAGCGATCTGCACTTCCCTGGAATGTATATGGCACAGAAAATTTCCATCCACAAAGTTGGCAAACCAGTACAGTCCTCTTGCCCTGCAACTGGCCCGTCCCAATGATGTTGTGCGTAGTCTGCCTCATTGTGAGACGTTCAATGCCTCAAACTTACAGGCTGTCAAAAAAATGAAAGCACGGAAAGTCAGCTCCCTCCATTCTGAACTGCAAAAACTGTATTTAACATGCCCTACAAAACAGTGCAGACCGCTCTGCGGTTGTTTAGCTGGGAGGGTAGCAGCTCTCGGGCAGAGAAAACGCTGGAATGTTACTCATCCGATGCCCTTGTAGGGTGGGGGGGCTTCTGGATGGTGGGATCAGTAGACTGTCAAAGGTTAGTAAATTATCTTTTCCAGCAAAGCGTTCCACCTGAGAGCTGCGGGGAGAAATGCTCCTTCAGCACCATTGATGGCAACATGCTACTTTTAATGAGGCCTGAAGCATGGGCAGAAGGGCAGTATTCACAGTAATTAGGTCTACACCATAGTCAAGCAGATGCACCAGCCATGAGATCC